ACTGGGATATTTCACTCAGCATAATGTTCTCCAGAGTCAACCATTTTGAATAATATTGCCAATAACAAGGTGTCATATGTCATATGTCCTGTGATTTTTGCCCTTTCTAATAGTCAGATCTTCCCAATCTAACTTATTGGGCCATCTTTCCTTGTGAAATCTGTAATACGGATTTACATGACATACTAATTTAGGGTGATGCGATGGCACCTAACAACAAGAGCGTCTTAGTTATCCAGTCCACTGTAAAGAATACCACAAGAGAAGACATTATTGAGTTGACTAAAACTCATAGTGACCCTTTGAACCAAAGATCTAAACCGTGCTGTATCATGCCTTAACTTCAGGATCTCTGTCATGCTCAGGCCCAGCGTTGCATTGACTCTGTCATTCCATCTCATCAAGGACCTTCCTCTCTTTCCCTGACTCTCTTTGACTCTCTGCTTTTCCCAGTGTGATGTCCTTTTCCAAGGACTGATATCTCCTGGTAACATGCCCAGAGTGTATGAGATGAAGTTTCACCATCTTTGACTCTCAAGAGCACCCACCCTAGTTGCACTTTCTCCAAGATGGATTTCTTTGTTCTTTTGGCAGGGGCTTCTGTATAGACTACTCTCCACTGACACCGCAGCTCAAAGACATCCATTCTTCTTCTGTCTTCCTCATTCATTGCCTAACCCTCACTTGCATTTGAAGCATTTGAAAATACCATTGCTTAGGTCAGGCATACCTTAGTCTTTAAACTAACATCTTCACATCTTAGCACTTTAAGGTCATTGAGGGCAGCTGCTACTATTGTGGATCCATAGAAAATGGAATTGTTGACAACGTTAGTCTTCATCTGTAATGATCTTGCCTGTGTTGTGTTGTGAGGATTTTTGTTTTCTTGATGTTGAGTTGTGATCTGCATTGAACCTACATTAATCTTTTTTAGTAACTGCTTAAGTCTTCTTCACTTTCTGCAAGCTAGGTTGTGTCATCTGCATAACACAGGTTGTTACTAAATCTTCCTCTAGTTCTGATGCCAAGTCCTTCTTTGTCGATACTGGTGACAGAGCTTCCAGCGCCACGGTAAATCACAGCTGCCACAGTATAGCAGGTTGTCTCGGCCATGAGTGGAGGGGCTTTCACAAAAGGGAGTTTGTTCTCTCACAGGAGAGAGGCTAGAAGGCTAAATTCCGGGTCTGGCTCTAGGGGAAGCTCTCTTTTGGTTCTGGAGGGAGGCGTACATCTGTCAGCCTAACATATTTTTGACAGTCTTCATATGTCTTGCCACCAGTCTTTCTGTGCATGTAAGCAGTTTGTCACACAGGGGCCCTGGATCCATAGCAGATGCTCTGCTCTTGGCTCTTCTTTCTCGGTAACACTAAGGTCCCAAGATCTCTCTTTACTTGTTTAATCTCTCTTTATATCTCAAAAGAGATTGATTCAACGATACAGGCAAATCCTGTAGATTAGTTTATTAACATAATTGCCACTAATCCTGCCTCATTAACACCATAGAGGTTAGGATTTACAACAGTTAGGATATGTATATCAGCATAATACTGAGACTCGTGGCCAAGCCAAGCACACTTTTTGAGAGGGCACCTTTCAGTCTCTAGCACTCCGCTAGCCCACATAGAGCACATATACTTGACAGGCCTGAACCCAAGGATAATTAAGGATAATAAGGACTGTAGGACCCCACGCTGCCTTCCCCTCAGTGCTGCAGTTGTTATGTGCCATAGAGTTGGAACCGACACTCTGGATTTTGAGAGGCAGTTAATCACACAGGACAAGATTGCCCATTCCTCTCCCGTGGAGCAGCTGGTGGCCTCGAACCATATGTCTTTGGGATTGCAGCGCAGCTTCTTGACACGAGGCCACCAGAGTCAGCTGGTCATTAATCCATGCATCATTGTCTTGGCAACTTCCTTTTGGCCTCCTTTCATCAGTCTAGATGTCCTTTAGTTTGGGAACTGGGCTTGTTTCCTCATGTAATTCCCTTCATGTTGCCTTGACAGAATCTCTTCTTTGCTCAAAGCTTGTGATGTTTTTTGAGAGTGAGGAGTCAGAGGTGAAGAAAATAGAACAGAGAGTGGATAGATACCAGGGATCTTAGACCTTAGTGGTTGGTGTGGTGGTCACAGATTGGATTCGCAACCTTAAAAATAGGGAAAATAATCCACTGTAGCTTTGAGACTTGACCCTGATCCAAGGATCCCTCAAGGTTCCTTCATTAAACCAGAATATAAAACCTTTCTGCCTCTTGAAAAGTGTTAAAACTTGGCCAGAGTCTCCAGAATTTAACTGTCTTTTGGAGTAGCTAACATAGGACAGAAAATTGAAACCTTTGGGTGTTAGGCTTAGGTTCCATTACCCTTATGATCCTAATAAAGCAGGTCTATTGATAGTGTGGCAAGCCATCGGCTCTTGCCTTTTAGGCATAGGATTGGTTCTCTCTAAAATGATTCTTTAAGGTTCTGAGGTATTTAAACATTAAAATCCTGTTTAGTTATTTTACTAGTAAGTGAATACCCTCAGAAATCCTTAAAAATGTGCTGCCCAGAACATTAATGAAAGAAAGCCCTTCTCAGGGGTTGTGCCAGCAAGAGGGCAGGACTTCAAAAGGAATGTCTTGCTCTTATTTTTCATGATGTGGGGAAATGCTTGTTAAATTCTCACTGTCATAAACTTCATGTGCAGTAGAGAATGCTGAAGCCAGATCCTGCCGTTTCCCATTATTAGCAGTGTAACTGGAGGCAGAGGACCCTTAACTCGTCTGGGGTCATAGTCCAGCCTGTCCAGCCGTGCAGATTGTTAGAAAGATCTTATGTGATAATGCTTCTTAAGGTAAAGATCTCTAAGGCAGTGGGAGTTTGTATTAGAATTACCTGTAACACTTCAAAAAAATACAGATTGTCAGAACTGCTGTCCCAGTCTCTCTCTGGTGGCGGTAGATTTTCTTTTAAATTCCCACATGACATCCCAGACTGATTTGAATTTCCTTTTTCAGTACGCCATTACCTTTTTTGGCATCTACCTACAGTGATGCTCAGTGCCCTCTACTGCAGCTTGCACCTTCTTTGGGGGTTGTTACCATGTTGGGCTGTTAACCAAAGGTTGGTAGCATGAATCTCCCCCTGCTCTGAGGGAGAAATGCAGACAGTCTGCTCCTAGAATACTTACAGCCTTGGAGACCAGGTGGAGGATTATTGTGAGTCAGGATAAACTGGACAGCAGTGGGGTTTTGGCATTTTTGGTTGTTTAACCTAGCCCGTGGTACCCTGATGGCATAGTAGTCAAGGCACTTGGTTCCTAGCCCAGTACTATGAATCTCCCAGCTGCTACATGGAAAAAAATATGTGGCAGTTCAACTGACACATGAAAAAATGCTCAAAATCACTGACAGTAAGAGAGATACAAATCAAAACCACAGTGAGTTACCATCTCACCCCAAGAGCAGTGACAAACTTTAGGAGGACAGCAAACAATAAATTTTGGAGAGGTGGGAACTCACACACACTGCTGATGGGATTGTAAAATGGTACAACCACTCTGGAGACAGTTTGGTGTTTTTCCTCAAAAAGTTGATCATAGAAACTCTGTATGACCCACTGTTTGACTACTAGGAATACACCCCAAGGAAATTCAATCTGAGACACAAACAGAGATCTACACACATTATTCACCATTGTAAGAACATGGAAACAACCCAAATGTCCAACCACAGATTAATGGATTAGGAAATTGTGGTACATTCACACAATGGAATACTACGCAGCACTCAGGAGCAACGTTTTCAAAAAATGCTGCATAACTTGGGGGAGACTGGAGAGCATTATGCTTAGTGAATTAACTCAGTCTCATAAGGACAAATACTGCAACTAGTAAAACGTGTATGGGGACCCAATGGGGGAAGCGATGGGAGTGGAGGGGTGAGGAGGGTAGGATTTGCAGTTTGGTGTGTGGAGGGAGGAGATGAAGGAAATGGGAAGGATCTGTCAGGTACCTGAAATAACTGGACAATACTGGGCAAGGTCCAATGGTGATTGATATGATAAAACATAATGCATAGGGGATGATTGTATGAAACACAGTATGAATGAAGAGTAGTACGAAACACAATGTTTATGAACTTTGTGAGCAAACCAATATAAAAGAAAAAAAGGTCTGTGGCACTACAGCTGCTTTCTCAGCCTGAGAGAGCCATCATGGTTTAGAATCAACTCTACAGCCATGGATTTGGTGTGTGGGTAACCTGGGCCAGTCCAGCCCTTCCAGTTCTCAGTGTTTAAGCATTGACCTTGTAACATTTTCGATAGCTCTTGTACCCACCCCGTGTTCTGCAGAAGTCACAGTTGTTTTGACCACCATGTCTGTCTTTGCTCGTATTACTTTATCTACCAGGAATGACTCTTCCCTTAGTTCTAAATTGTACACCACCTGTAGGGGCTGGCTTCAGTCCCTGCTCTGCCATTTATTCTCAACATCATTTGGCATAAAAGTTAAGAACTGAAATGAAAATTGTAAATTTCCTCAAAGATTAAAAAACAATCAAAGCTGGAGACCTGGATTAAGTGCCTTGCCCAAACCTATACCTAGAGACAGAGCTAGGATTAAAGCCCAGACCTCCAGACTTTTCCTTATGCGCCTTTCCCACCCTCAACAACATGGGTTGACCTGGTGACTGTAACAGTGGCTGAAGTATGTCGAAGATGGTGAGACGGCACAGGAAAAGGCAAGGTTCATAGGGTTGTTCATAGGGTCATTATGAGTCACCGTCAACTCAGTGACACAACCACCACCCTTTCCACAGCACTTCTTTACTTCCAAACGCCCTCTTTTTTCCCTAAAAAAATATCAACCTTGTTAGTTTTTCCTAGTGGCTCTTTGGTCAAAATTTGTGGATAAATGTCCAGTATGTACCTGTGACTGTGTGACACCCTCTTGGAGCATCTTCTCTTCATCTTAAAGTTGAGCTAATACCATCATCTCACAGACTCTTATTTTTAGTGTACACCTACCCCCCCATCCTTAGATTCCTTAAGAGCAAAAGATAGTGTCTCAGTCATATTTGCATCTGCTCAAAGGGACCTTGAAAGTGTGATTTCTCAGACCCGCGTCCTCAACATCACTTGGCAGCTTATTAGAAATGCTGACTCTCCTGCTTCCTGCAGGCCCACCAACCCCGTAACGTGGAGGACACCCCAGCATTCTGTGTTTTGACAAGCCCTCCAGGTGACTCGATGGAGCTCATGTTAGAGACTGAGAACCACTGTCTGTGGTGCCTATGTTTAGCTTGCTTGATAACTGATTATCACATATTTATTTCAAATCCTCAAGTAATAAAATGTGTGGCATGATGGTGACAGGCATTTTAATTTTGTCTGTCTGCTGTTTGAACTGGAGTCTAGCAGGATGTAGACAGTTTCATGGATCTCTTCATCCACCAAATGACACTAGGTTGCTTTGTTCTAATGGGGGAGAAACCTATAGCAGGTGATTGTATTAAATGGTTTTCAGGTGAACAGCACTAGTGTGAGAGACATTACATCACTGTTTTTAAAATAAAGAATGGCAGCTTTTTAGAATATTGTATACTATAACACCAAAACCATTTTCTTTTTCATGTGTAATGAAACAAAATGACATTTTCCCTCATCTTTGCGTTGATGTTTAAAAACTGTTGGAATGTTAATCATATGAGGATAAATTGAGAACTAAGTTAAGCTTTAGGTACAACTGGTTGATGCTAAGTCCTTTGCCTCTTTTGACTGGAGGTTGGGAATTTGCAGGGCACAATCTGTTTTGACAGTTGTATAGGGCTGCAGGTGTCTCTGAACTTGCCCCTGCGTTCACGGTACCAGAGGGGAGCCATAGAGATAGCCTGTAGTTTCTGACTGCGGGTGATCACATAATTGTTTTGTACTTTCCAAAAAAGCAGCAGTTCTCCAAAAGGTGAAGTTTCATTTTATTGAAGGCTACTACGTGCTGAGAACAAACTATTCTTGACTCTATAATTACTCTGACACCTGAAAGACAGGATCGCCAAGCTCCTGGGTAGAAGGGAGCCTGAGAAGCTCCAAGTCCCAGTGGTTAACTTTGTAAATGCCAGGAGCCTGCATTTGCTGAGTGAATTCTCCTTTCTCTTGACTTTGACCGAATATCTGTAACGCGGTCTGACTTAAACTGAAGCAAAATCTTCTTGGCTACCTCAGTCTTCAGCAAGACGTAAGATCACGTTCTCCAGTCCCACCAGGCCTGCTTTCTTTTCTACTGGATTAAATATTTGATGGTTGTCATCATCATCACGGCTTTTAAGTGAATTTCCTATATTGACTCTCACCCTTGCTGGTGCCGGGCTGCTGACTGTAAAGTTGGCAGTTCACATTCACCAGGTGCTTCTCGAGAGGAAAATGGACATTGTCTTCCTGTAAAAATTTACAGCCTAGGGGACCCACTGGAGAATCCATTTGAGTCAGAATCATCAACTCATTGGCAGTGAATTTGCGTTTTTGAGTGTGTGCAAAGAAAGCATCATTCTTGATGTCGTCAATACATTACTTCTGAATATCACAACCAACTGGATGCTGCTGTCCTCTGTTTCCAGATTAGGGAAGAAATTCCAGAAGGGAGGCATCCTTTGTCCAAACCGTGCAGGAAATTTGTGAAGAGCCTGTGAGAGTTGAGCCTAGAAAGCTGTGTAGAAGTTGGTTGTGACTTAAATATAGTATAGTAGTAATATTTGAAAGTTAGATAATTTGAGTAAGTTATTATCAAAATCCTTGATTCTGGTGGAAAATCACCCCTTGGCTTTTTTTCAGCTTTGTGCTTTGATTTTTGTAACGCATTTTTTTCTTAAAGTAAAATGCCTGGGAGACTGCATTTAAACTGTGGCTGTTACACTGAGCTTTCTGGAACAAGGCTGGAAGCCTACCCAGGGAGCATACCTTGCAGTCAGCACACGTAAGACCTTGCATTTACACATCTTTTAATCTAAGATGGGTCATACCTGGTCAGCCTCCCAAAACCCTGTGGGGTGCACTTAGACTTGACGAGGAAGACGTGCACAGAAAACAGAAAAGACACAATGTGGCTTCACCAGGGGCCACTCTTCCTTCTTAAGTACAAAATCAATGTCCAAACAGAACTGTGAATGGTGCTAAGGTGCGGGGAGGTGTTAGCTCCACGAGAAACACTTCCCTTGTCCTTTCTAGGTACAGAAATTATTTGTCATTTCAAAAACTTGAATAGATAGCAAGTCTGCCTCAGATTAGCAGCTCCTGTTAGGTGCCTGCATTCCAAGGACAATGGGTACTATAAATAAAAACACATTAAGAGGCTCGCTTCTCTCTGTATAGCTTTATCTGAGGGGCACTGTTAATGGAGAGGTATTTGCGTCTCTCAGTTGGAACAACAGTGGGGGTGGCCATGAAAGATACTCTCTACAGTAGATGTGCCCCCTCTGAGGCTCCCAAGTAGCAGAGCATGCGGCAGGCAAAGAATTGTGGGTAGTAATTTGGGTGTTAAAATATTAACACATTTTTTGCATATTTAATGTGGTTTCCTTTTTAAATAGTAGGCTGATTATGGCATAGGAACACATAGGTTTATGGTTTCAAATTAATATTTAAGCATTAAAAAAAAATCCAACAGGGACCTACTTTGTTATACATCCCATTCATTGAAACAGGAGCTGCTTTCTTTTTGACGTTCCTGATTTTATACCAGCTAATTGGCCCCCAAGTTTTACAGTTGCAACTTGTGACAGAAGCTTCATGATAGATGCTAGTCTTTAAAAAATTTCAAAACATGAAATAATTTGTTTAGTGAAGATTTGAGTACCTGCTGTGTGCTGGTCACTCGTCTCTGAACCAGAAATAGATTCTCTGAGAAGGTTTCACAAAGGAAGGAGCTTTTGTCCCTGGACGTTAGGAATGTGAGAGTATATGCAGTCATCAACTATTGAATGTTAAGTATACATAAATATATGTCTCTATCTGTATCTGCTATGCACTACTAGTTGGTTTTTGTTTTCTGATTCTTAACCTGCCTTTTCCCCTTTCTCACTTGTGCTTCACCCTAACTCAGATCCTAGAACTTTTGAGAAATTTGTCCTGGGGAAGGCAGCAAGGCCCCTTAATGTAACCTCCTCTCTCCTTTTTCCCCACAGGCAAAGATGCCGTTTGATGCCAACAAACTGTATTGCAGTGAAGTGCTGGCCATATTGCTCCAGGACAACGACGGTGAGCCTCCCTCTCGGGCTGCTCCTCTGTGAGGACAGGAGCCCGGCTTGTTTCAGATCATGACAGCGAGCTCTCTTGCCTTTGGCATCCCCTTGCTCTCCCTCGCACTCCCCGTGCAGCTTTTGTACTCTGTCAAGCTGTATTGATTTTGTTTGCTGATGTATCAGTGTTAGACGGCTGTAAAATCTGACAGTTAGCTTCATTTTTTTTTCCCCTTCCTCTTATTTTTTTTCCTTCCTTTTAGAAAACAGGGAATTGCTCGGAGAACTGGATGGAATCGATGTGCTTCTTCAGCAGTTATCCGTGAGTAATTCTTAGACTTCCTGTCTGCCATGAAGATGCATGACCTCATTTAAATGGGAGGTGGAGCTGGAAATCGTGGGGCAGAAAAAGCCACATGATGCAGGCAGTATGGAGGTGCATGGCAGCTTTGAGGGTACACTAGAGGTACACGGTTTAGCTCCTTTCCTTGGTCACTTGCTCTTTGTGACCACATGCCACTGTTTATACCCAGTATAGACTTTTCCAGTCTAATGATAAGATATGTGTCACTCAGAAAGAGGTGTGCTTTGCCTATATGTGTGTTCTTGGGCCAAAAAGACCAAATTACTGTCAGAGTTGACCCACTCCCAAGATAGTCACCTCTTTTTCAATCTGTCACTAAAAATAGAATCTATTCATATAAGATCCAGATAAGCTCAAGGAACGAATGCAAGTTCCAGTGCAGCAGGGTGAAGGTCACAGAGGAGAGGGGAGGGAAGGGTGAAGTATTGGAGGCTGCTGTGAGAAATGGAAATTGCCATTTGCTCACTGTAAGAAATAGAAATCCAATTGAAATGTTGTTCTGCTGGCATTCTGGAAATACTGTTTAAAATTTCTTCTAACAAATCTCATCTGTGCTACTCCCAAAAACAAGACTGAAAATAGATCATTTGGATTAAAACTTGAGAGTGTTGGGAGTGTCTGAGCTCTCAGTTTGCATACAGCTTCTGTCTTGGAGCCAGAGCCCAAGTGCTTGGCTTCCACCCTCAAAACAAAGTTTTTAAATTGGAATCTGTCTCCAGCTCTGAGGAAGGTGCTTAGTCCTCTTCCTGCCAGTTTATTTATTGATCATTCTGTAATAGATTGTATGCGTATGCATATACTGTTAATACGGTTTCCCCCTCAACGTGCTATAGATCTTTGGCAAAGACAAACCTTCTCTTTTAGACCCTCAAGGAGACAGAGAGCCACCCCAACGACAACACACAGCAAAAGCACCGGGTCGCAACAAACCCAGACCCGCACCAACCCATAGTGGACCAGAACGCAGTGCAGTCGCTTCTTAGAAAGAGGGGACACGAGAATACAGATGTCGAGAAAGCAGAGATTCAGACGCCTCAAGAACCAACAGAAAGAGACACCCAGAAGGAGACCGAAGACGCGGCAGAAATACACATCGACGCCAGAGTGGATGGACAGGTCCTAGCACACAAGGAAAAGAATTTGGAAAGGCTGAACGAACCGGAAAAAGAAAACACAGACAGACTCAACAACAAGCTGAATATTGTGAAAAACAACAAAAACTGAAAGCCAGAGATGTGATAACAGGCACCCAAAAAGACACGCCTCCAGGAACTGAGAAAGAGGCGGAAGGCAAAGAGGCAAGCTGAAGCCAACAAACCGGAGGACAGCGAAGGACGGGCCAGATTGCGAAAGGACAACAACAAAAACAAGGAAAAGATACGAGAACAGGACGCAATCCACGCCACTCTCCAGAAGTGACACGTGTTTAAAAGACACAATCCCAGCACAGCGGAGGAACAAGAGATGATGGAGAATCTCTTTGATTCGCTCTGTTCCTGCCTCATGCTCAGTTCTAATCGTGAGCGCTTCCTGAAGGGTGAGGGACTTCAGCTGATGAATCTCATGCTCAGGTATGTTGCTAATCTCCCTGCTCTCCTATACTTGTTGTCTGACTCGCCACTGGAAGCCTGGCTAGTCAAGAGCATTAAGCCATGCTCTTTGACTCTGTTGTTTCTTCCTACCCACATAAAAGAGTAAATCTTCAGTAATGTATGTGCGTATATGTGTTATATTGCTCTTATTGTGTGCCTGTGTGTCAAAGAGTCAGTCCAGTTCTTAGGGATCCTGTTATGACAAAGAAGGACAGCCCCCGGGTAGGATCTCCCAGACTGTTACCTTTCAGGAGCACTTTGCCAGGTCTTTTCTCCTGTGCAGCAACTGGTAGGTTCCAACTGCCAGTATTTCTATTATCAGCCAAGTGCTTAACTATAGTGCCACCATGGCCTCTGAAAGTAGGTTATGTTGTTGTTTGCTGTTAAATTGGAACCAACTCATAGCTGACCCTCCAGTGGGTTCTCAGAGACACTAAATTGCACAAGAGGAGATTGCCCATTCTTCATCCTTGAAGCAGCAGGTGTATTAAAAATGCACGCCTTTGGGATTACAGCACAGCGTCTTACCACTAGGCCACCAGAGCTCAAATAGTGGGTTAAATAAAAAGTGTATTATGTGTGTTTTGGTCTGTTTGTATCTTCTTGTTGTGTCAACTGATAATACGATCACCTCATTGAAGGTAGATGTCCTTGTTTCCGTTTTGGAGAAATCAAGTAATTAATGCCTGAATTTATCCCATGTTAAATTTTCTCACACTCTGTCTATCACACACATACCTGTCTTATCCCACGTTTTTTATAATTTATTTCCCCCATGCATTTATTCAACTATGCATTGTCCATTTACTGTGAGCCTAGCATCTTCTTGTTGTTATGTGATGTTACAACTCGCAGTGACTCTGTGAACAGCAGACCTAAACCTGCGCTATCCTGCACTGTCCTCCTGATCTCCTCCGGGATTAAGCCCCTTGTTACAGTCACCATGTCAGGACCATCTTGAATGAAGGTCTTCCTCTCTTTCTCAGCCCCTCCACCTTTCCCAGCATGAGGTTTTTCTCCAAGGACCAGCCCCTCTCAGCAACATGCCCAAAGGATGTGAGAGGAAGTTTCACCAGCTTGGCCTTTAAGGAGCCCCCTGGCTGTACTTCCTCCTGGACAGACTTGTTTGTTCTTTTGGCAGTGGAGGGAATATTCAGTGCTCTTCTCCAACCCCACCATTTTTTGTTTCTTACTCATTGCCCAATTTTCAAATGCACAGGAAGCAATTGAACATAGCTTTGATCAGACACACCTTCATCTTTAAACTGACACTAATGATCTTGAGCGCTTTGGAGAGATCCTTGACAGCAGATTTTCCTAACACAGCATTTCTTTTGATTGCTTTTTGTTTTGGTATCTATTAAGAACATTTAATTCATTAAGGAATGAATTGCTAATTTTTCAAATATTGATATTATGAATGGTTTTTCTTCATGGGAAACATTTTAAATTATTTACAGAACAAATGAGATTAAGAGGAGCTTAGCAAGGGTTGTGAGTTGCCGGTGGCCAGGGCAACAATTCCTGCGTCATTATTTTGTGGATGTGTAAGCTCAAAGTTCTTCCAAATTCCAAATCTTTCTAAAGAAAGGAATTTGACAAGGTTTGATTGCCCCTTTTCAATTGTACCGTCAGTCTTTTTCTTCTGTACCAACTACAAACTTTGGAACCCTTTCAAGTCCTTCTGTGGGCAAAACAAAAATTCAGAGGAGGTCTGAGATGAGGAAAAGGCTTCAGTGAAGGTGCCGAAGGCAGCTTTGTGACGTTCAGTGGCTCAGCTGCGTGCGACCTGTGAGCTTGTCATGAAGGACAACCGGAACGTCTGCCGTGCTCAGGCGCTCCGGCAGCCATGCTTACACTTGCACCTGATGTTACACGGCTGACACTTGTTACCGAGCCCCTTACCCTGGACTTGCGGCACAGTAGGTAGACCCCCCACATGTCCAGGAGCCCCAGCCAGGCCTGGGCTGGAGCCAGTTGTCCTGCAGCAGAGCTGTTGACCTTCTGGTGGGCCCTCACAGGCGTCCCAAAGACCCGGCCAAGGAAGCCATCACTCACAGTGGTGACACCATCCCTGTCTTCAGGTTTCTTGACTGCCATTACCATGGGTTTTGATTGTGGATCCAAGTAAAATGTGATCTATAATAACCTCAAGCTTTTCTCCTTCTATGGATGTTGTATATTGGTCCAGTGGTGAGGATTTTTGTTTTCTTGAGCCTCACATGGTGTTGTTGTTGTTGTGTACCATCAAGTCAGAACTTAACCCACAGCGGACCCTCTAGCAAATTTTCAGAGGCAGTAAGTCACACAGGAGGAGGTTGCCTGTCTTTATCCTGCGGAGCCGCAGGTGGATTCAAACTCTGTGCCTTTGGGATGGCAGCACAGTTCCTTACCACTAGGCTGCCGAGGAGATGTGAAATATCCAAAATAGATAGAAAATGTTATGATGTTGTTTGTGTATTCACTTATGCTCAAATGTCTGAAAGTCTTTAAAGTGGATATTATGTAAGTATTATTTCACAGAATCTGTAAGTTGAAAACAAGAGAGATAGCTTGTCTACGTAAAGGGTTTTTTTTGGGGGGGTGGGGAGTTTTCCCCATAGTTTTTTAAGACATGTAGTTAAGGATGTGAGTAAGAGAAGCGGATGAAGAGGGCAGGGAGAACCAATGTGATGTAAGCCAGGAGATCGATTTTTCGAATTGAGAGACATTGAAGTATGCTAACTTGATTGAAAGACTGCTTACTGTGGGATTGTTCTTTATGAAACCGAGCCAGAAATTCTTGAAAGTTCTACTTATATGCATTGAAAATTCTGTTAAACTAAGATATCTCTTTGGAAATGTTAAAATAGATTTGCTGTGTGTCTACTCAGTTTGGCGTTCTGGGGACCTAAGTGGGTAAGGCGCTGCCAACGCAGAGGCAGGCAGTTTCGATCCGAGAGCGGCTCTGTGAGGGAACCGTGGGCTGTCTCTTCCTCTTTGGTTTACAGCCTCTGGAAACCTGCTGGAAGGTCAGGCTTTGAGTCCATTCCAACTCAGTGGCACCGAGTTTGAGGAATATAATTTAGAACATAGAGACACAAAACTCAATATTAAAATTTTGTTCGGTTACTCTTTTAAGTGCTGGACTAATGTAAAATTGAATAAGACAGAATTTCTGTCTTCCATAATGATTTTCTTTGTTTTTAACAGCTTTTTCAGACTGCCTAAGCATATCATTTTCTATATGATTTCTTTTTCAAAGTTAACGTTGCTTTTAAATCTGTTTCATGAATAAAGGTTTCCTGTACTTTGGCATTAACAATCCAGAGAGTTCTCAGTAACGATAAGGAAATTGTTGTTGATGATGTTGAGGTGATGTCCCATGTTTTAGCATTAATAACAAACGCTACAGTTACCATTTTGTTTTTAAAAAATATCTGGGTGTGTCAGATTATTGAGGAATATATTTTGAAAATCTTTTTGTCTTTAAAGCTTGTATGAAGCTAGGGATGCAGTGTACGTGTGCACTTAATACACATCAGACCTCCGATTGATTGAAAGTCTTTGAGGAATTGCTTTTACAAAAAGATTTCTTAAAGTGCAGGGGAAAGCAAGGGAAATTACTCAGAGGCCTTCAGTGTTGAGCTGATTTTTGCCTGCTTTATTCTCTTGAGTCAGTTGTTTGTTTATCTCCTTTACCCTTTTAATTGCCTGTCCTTTTTGTCGAAATGACCCACCTTTTCCCCAGTTAATAGCATATAAAGGAATTGCAGTTGACTTCTTGGACCTTCTAACCTTAATACTACACTCTCCTGGGACTTTCCCCTAAGCCTCTGAAAGGTCTGAACTGCCAGCGTCGTTGGATGTTTGAGTGTGAATGTGAAGTGATGGATTCCTGTAGCATATGGCTCGGTAATGTGCAGCAGAGGGGAGCTGAATAAATAACCAGGAATATGGATTATTCAAACCGGAATGCCAAGGTTCTGGGAGGCTAATTAAAGAGGAGCTCCAAAAGGCCTAAGAAACTGTAGCTCTCTAAGATTTCCTAACTTCTTATTTTTGAATACAGAAGTTGCTGCTAAATTAATTCTTTTTGCCTCAATTAGCAGACTCAGCATTTCTTTTTTCGTCTTTCCCATGCTCTTTATCCTGTGTCATTTTTCTTCTTCTGACTCCCAAATGGCAATTTTAATTGGAAGGGATTTTTAGCCCCTACTAGAGTCACCCTTCCTAGCCTTCCAGAGAAAGACATCATGCTTAGTAGAGTGTAGGTAAGCAAGAGAACAGCCTCAGAAAGGTGTACTGGCCTTTGCTACAGCAGTGGGATCAGCCATGCAGGATTGGGAGGATGGTGCAGGCTTGGGCAGGGCTTCATGCTCTTTTACCTGGAGTTGGTAGGTTTGCTGTGGGTAAGAGCCAACTCCTAACCACACCTGGCTTCTGGCAAGAGCTGCCACGTGGTTTTCTGGATAGAGTACGTAGCCCTCCCAATGGCGTGGTCCTTTTCGTTGCCCCTATACACTGAATTTAATCTGGCTCACTCACGCATTAAGCAGTTGTAAAATTTCCTCTAGGAGAAGGGTAAATGAAAGAATAGACTTTGAGGTTGAAATAAATACAGGTTTAGAATGTAGCTTTTTCTTTGTTGGCTCTATTACTGTGACTGAGTTACTGTAACCTTTCTGGACTTGTGGTCATCAGTTTCTTCATCTGAAATGATAGAGATAATACTACCAAGTTTGCTTGGATATCACAGAAATTAAAGAGTCAATATTTCGGCATATGCGACTGTTCTTTCCCTAGCAAGCATGCTACTGTTGAAACACTGATTAGGCATATGGTATAAGTGCTAGGCATATACAGAGACGAATAAAATAGAATTCCAACCTGCAAGAAGTTCATAGTCTAGTGAGGATAGCAGACACTGAATAACTAACTATATTATTGTTTAATGTAGTAAATGTAAAAGTTGAAGTACCTGCTGAGGTCATAGATGA